GACTTATGCTTGTGCATCTCTGTGTGAACCAAGGTCTTTCCCAGTTCACACACACTCTTTCTGGAAACCCCCAAGGCTGTTTCTTATTGCCTAATCCTGGTTCTGTTACTTGTCCTTGGAGGACAGTTTTCCTGGCTTCTGAGTTCATCAAAATCCTCACTCTTCTCTGAGCTCTCATACAAGACACTCCTGCCTGTTTATGAATATTGAGTGTATTGACTGTGCGTTTGAAACTTTGAATTACAACAATTTTAAAATAGGGTGAGATTTCACCCTGGTCATGGCCTGACAAAATTCTGTTGTTTCATTTATTCATATCTGAAATCAAATACTCCTAAGTTCAAATCTTTCTTTCAAATATCTCTATTTGTCAAAGATTTATTCCTGACAGCTCTTGTTGTCCTTGGCTATTTTTATGGATAAGTGGGGCACTGCATTCAACAAATTCATGATGCCTTCCACAGTTTGCACACATTCCCAAAATTCACAAGATAAAGTATTAATAAGAGAAAATAGTTTATGTGTGGGATGCTTCACTGCTCAGTTGAACCTCTCTATTGTATGTTGAATTCCAATAATAAAGGGACCAGCAGAAAAAAATTACTTAGGGAGATTTGGAATTATATATAGGTTTGAGCTGCAACACATAGCTCTTTTGGTTCTGGGACACACAGAAAAAAGCCCAAGACTGTAAATGGTGCTATCCTGGGGCTTAAATTTCTTCTTAAATTATTTGAAAGGATGCTGAACTTGTAGGCAGGGGTTCATCTGCCCAGCAATGAAGTCTTTCACTTCAATTTCAGACACATCAATTTTGAATTGTATTGCTCATTCATTTCTTTTGTCAAGAAAATCACAGCCAACAGGCCACAGAAAATTCAACTTACAGAGGTTTGAGGAGAGAAGCCTTGGACTTATAAACAATACAAGAGGATTTAGAGTGGATCTGATACTCAGGAGGGTAATATTTGACTTAGGGAGGTTCAAGTTAACCAGGTTCACCTGCTGTATAATCATAAAAATACATCCCTTCATCTTAACTATCTGAGGCCATTATATTACTTAGAAAAATAAATTCCTACCAATGTAAGCCCCAACAAAATAACAAACAAAACTTGATGGTCACAAGACCATGCATATATCAAGTCCCCAAATGGGAGGTATTCTTTGTGTGACCCCACAACTGGTGCATACTGGGGTGACACTTGGTGTACATCATGGGCTATTCTGGGGTTACAAGCATGCACCTCTGTAGATGAAATTTTGCTACCATTCAAGGGCTACATTTGGTGCACAAATGTGACATAACAGGAGTATCACACAAATGCACCAGCTGTAATCTTGGTGTAACTTATTTATTACAAATGTGACCCTGCAGCACAACCACAGTGTGAACACCCAATTGGTGCACATTAGGGATATACAGTACATGTGTAACAGAAAAACTTTGGCACACTTCAGGTGCACTGCAGGGTCACTGTGTAGAAATACAGACACATCCCCAATGTGCACCAATTTCCCCAATCTGGCCCTCATTATTTGTGATTGGAAGGTTTGGAACCTTGCTGAATTTTCAAGTGGGCAACATTTATTTTGGCTGTATGGTCATTTGCTTAAAAGACATGCTGGATATATTGTTTTGACCAGAACCAGGCTAAATTTCTGTGGATTCAATGTTCATGCATTTTTTGTACGGTGCATGCAATTGTTGCATTGTAATATTGGTGCACTGGGTTCAGTTTGTATGGACCCTTCCTGAATTTTGTTGAGGGGGGTTAAAAGCTCAAGATTTCCAGAGCCTGGATGTTCAAAGAAGAGCACCGTTTGCACAATTGAAGATTTCTGACCTGAGGCAAGTTAACATCCTTGTTGAACTCTTGATTTGGGCGCATTTCATGCTGGTTTAAAAAATGAACATGACTGCCAAAAAATGCTTGAGTGGGTAGCGACACCTACACTGTATAATGTGAAGTGCGTTGTTTTGGTATCTGTGGTGTTCAGTTGTGCTCCGTGAATAAGTGGAACCGTTGCCATGCCCTAATGTGTTTCATGGGCAATTTCCTATCCCGGTGTGGGCGGCACAGGTACTCCCCCAAAATTGTACTCCAGGAGTACACCCTGCCTAGGCAGGATGCACTCCAGGAGTACACCCTACCTAGTCAGGGTGTACTCCAATGTGTGCTATGCCGTCCCGTGGGTCTATTCAAATCCCCGGAGTGAAGTTCCATGGTGAATGCATGCAGTAGTTCTTTCAACAAAATTCAGAGGAGAGCCAATTCCATGGTGATTCTTGAAGTGGCATTTACTCTGGCAAACAAATTTTAAATTCTGCCAAAATAAATTTTCACAGGAGGCATTGTTATAGACCAGCATGATGGGAAAAAATGTGTGCAAAGTTTATTATGAAGTGCTAATAAAGCATGGTACAGGTAAATCTCAATAAGTTGAGCATTCCTAAGTCACATATATTTTCAAGTTCCTGTCTGAATCCCCTTAGAATCAATGCATTGAAAACCTCCCTAACACAAAGTATTTTTCTCTAAAACCTCTGTAAGTTTCATTTTCTGATGAAGAATTTTGGTTATTAGTGCTGTATTTCCTTGAAATATTAAAGAGAAAATCATTAAAACAAATGCTGTAATGCATCTTGTAAGGGAGTAAAAGACTATTGGAGCATATGAAACCCTGCCTCCAAGTTCAGGAAGGTGTTAACTCATTGAGGAGTGAGTTTAGGCCCAGAATATCCTCATATACAATTTACCACACTTTTCTTTACTTCTCCTCACAACAGAAGTGTTTGTTTTCTCAACTGAAAATCTCCAGATATCAAAACCTCCCTATAATTCAGAACTTCTTTAGGTCAAACTTTTTTCCTGGCCCCTTTGGAATTTGACTTACAGAGATTCAACTGTAAAACAATAATCCTGTTATCTCTTCTAGTTGCATTCATTATCACATTTTTTACCATACTTTAACTCCTCATAACAAACTTTGGCTGCATTGTGCGTCATTATGGTCTGTACAAGGCTTTGGAGCTATCCCAATTGAAGGGAGACAGACTACTATCTCCATCTTCAAACAACAGTGGGTACTGTTTTGCACGTGCATTACTGGCAACATCCATGTGTCATTCTGAAAAAAGAGTCCAGGTACACTCCAATTATCCAACAGCGTCCTGTTGTGCTGCCAATGAGGTACACTATCCTCAGTCTTGCCACCAGTCCAATTTTATTCTCTAAGCAGATACTGTACACATCCAACTGTGTACCATATTCAAATTGAAATGTGATTGACACTTGCACTGTTATCTATTGCAATTCTGTTGAAACAAACTTTGGGGGGTGGCTAGGTCAAGTTGTATTGGTTAAAATTTTTTAACTATATATTTATATATATATGTTCAATAAACATTTTTAAAATTAACCTGACTTGAGTTTTCTGCTAAAACTGACTTTGGAGGGTGGTTAGGTATAAAGGTAGGTTATGTTAGTTAAAATATTTTTAATGAACATGCAGATGTCAAAATATATAGTTGAAGTGTTATTAACTAACATAACCTGACCTAACCACCCCCCACCCAAGTCAGTTTCAGCTGAATCCCAATAAATAACAGTGCAAGTATCAATTCACATTTCCATTCCAATACAGTCAGTAATGAACTTGGATCAAGAATGAAACAGACCAATGGTAAGGCTGAGGATTGCATACCTAGACATTGGAACAACAGGGTTGTTGAATAATTGGAGTAAAGGGGATTCATTTTGAGCACCATGCATGGATGCCGCTGATAACATCCTGTTTGTTGTTCTTAGCAACATCTATGAGGGCATCGTTTTGCGCGTGGCTCCCCCCCCCCCCCCCCCCCCCCCCCCANGTTCTTAGCAACATCTTTGAGGGCATCGTTTTGCGCGTGGCCCCCCCCCCCCCCCCCAAGTGGGATAGCTCCAAGGCCTCCTGTGAAGATAGATTTCCACAGAATTCATCATTATTTTTGCCAAAGGAAATGCTGCTTCAAGAATCACTGTGGAATCAACTTTCCTCTGAATTCTGTGGAAGATATCACTGCGTAAATGATCACTGCAGAAGAGCCTCTGCAGAATTGCACTCCGCGGATGTGGACTAATCCTCCTGCAGGGGGAGTACCCTGTACTTGGAGATTACACCCTGCCTGCTACAACCGTGATGCAATGTTATGGTACAACTTCCACTCAAGGCAGCTCCATTCAACTCTACCTCTTTCATGCCACCCCTAGGAGTGCCAGCCTCTCATTGAGTGACTTCAACTGTAATGCTTTACTGGTGTAAAATGTAAACAGAGACTCCAAGGGACAAATAACATAGTGCACATATAAAACACCTTTTTTAAATAACTAAAATATATGGTATTTTCCTGTTATCTCTTTACCTCATTCCTAGACACCACTACCATCCAGAAAAATCATAGGACAAGTTCATAATCACAATGACCTACCAGAAACTGTGAATTTTATTTTTCTGCAATCTGCTGAAACTGATGTTGGGAGGCAGTTAGGTAAAGTTAGGATAGGTCAGGTTATGTTAATTAAAAGATATTTGATATTTGGGAGGCAGTTAGGTAAAGTTAGGTTAGGTCAGGTTATGTTAATTAAAAGATATTTGTAACAAACATAACATAACCTGACCTAACCTAACTTTACCCAACCACCTCCCAAAATCAGATAAAAATAATTACAGTATTTTCTGGTCATGTTTGGAAGTCATTTGCACAAATCAGCAGTAGTGATGGAATACTTTTGAATGTGTTTACCACTTTTGGCAACCACTAAACACTTCTCATAAAATAACAAGAATAAAACATTAAGAATGCTGCAAGTTCATGTATTGAATAGTATGCTATCTTCCTACAGCATTCAACATGTAATTCCTAACTGCAAGCATATGCAGTCGGTGAAGTCACTCATTGGTGGTGCTGAGGGAGGGAGTGGAAGGAACAGCCCTTTAGTGGAAGTGAGTTGTGTTGAGTTTGAAAGTGTACCATAATGTCTGGTCACCTGCTACACTGGCTGGAAACATTTGTCCATGTTTTGATAGTTATATGGATACGGTACTGTATTGTAGTCCACTGAAGTGAGGAATGACACATGTGTGTTATTGTACCTTTTACAAGAAACGGAATTTGATTGGATTCCGCGGTTTAGTCTCTCAGCTTCCTCCTTTGCGTGTTACTCTTTCCGTGAATTTTGGTGCATGATTGCTGCGTGCTCTCTCACGATGGGAGCTCGTGTCAGAGTGGTGTGCCCGTTAGTTGCAGTGGAAATCAGATTTTGTTTCAACGTATATCGGATTGCTGCAACCGACCGGGAAATGTTGCTACCCGAAGGAATCCGAATCTAGAGTGCTTCGATGCTGAACTTCCGTTTGTGAATTTTTGAAAACCTCTTACGGAGCACATCAGCATAGGCAGTAATTCCCTGGGAAACGATTACTGGTTGACTTAATGCTGCATTTCTTTTGTCTTGCAAGTTCATCGCATATTATCCCGCTCAGTGTTCTCAGCTTTCGTCGGTCTTGTCCTGAATTTATCCTCCGTTTTCTTTTGTTTTTTCTTCAGCCGCGTAAACCGAAGTCAGTTCTGTTCCAATTGGCTTTCACTCGAATGATTTTGAAACGGTGATTTCTTATTCTACTGAATGCGTAGATGTTTGATGATGAATGGAACATTCTTTGTCTTGAGGTCTCCTGAGAAGTGTGTTGCCGAACTCGGATCATGACAACTGGCAGCTCCAGTTTTTTCGATCCCTACTGCGACATTCTAATCTTCGGAGTTAAAGAGGGTGCACCCGGAGCTCCTAAAATATTGGACTTCCCGAAGGAGAAAGTTACTCGTTCCACGACGTGGAAAGAAATCCTAGAGCTCGAGCAAGCCCGAGTTGTGTACCCTTCAGGTGAACCTCCAGCAGAGCCATCGAAGCCTCGAAAGCGCTGCAAGAGAGTTTCTAACGCATGCCCTGACGAACGCGCTACCAAATGCGCTAGACTCATCATAAAGGATTGTAAGAAGTCGTCGCAGGTAGAGTTAGCCGCAATGATCGAAGCATTTGATGATGACTTGCCTGATCCTCCATTACATGAACCTCGGGCGGAAGGATTCACCAAGGTAGATGATCGAATGGCCGTTGCCAAGTGCAAGACGTGAGTTCTTACATCATTTTATTCCGAAGTTGGGATCGTTTTGCATTTCAGAAATTTACTATGGGGGTACTATCAGTCGTCTGCGAATTTCGCCTGTTTCTCAGTCATTCTCGGATAATCTTGAGCGTGAGAACGAACTGATGAAATATTTTGAGGAGAAATTTCATTCCACATCGTCGGATTCTGCGCTTAAAAATTGCAATTCCACTCGCTATTTTCTTTTTCATCGCTCTTCCTGCTTACAAAGCAGCAGTTTATGGAGTTCGCAGAGGACCTGATGTTGAAAGAAAATTTTCTTTCTACATCTGTGGTAGTACTTCGGTTGCCTGCCATTCGTCTTCATTCGAGTGTCTCTAAAAATGTCTCGTATAACAGGAGGATTCCTTACACAAACAAGGATGATGTCAAAATCATAGATGCAGTTATTGATCTGTCTTCGCAGTATTCCACCGGTGGGAACACCTTGTGGCAAGTTATGGAAAAGCAGCAGTTTCTTCCAGGTTATTATCATTGATTATCTTCAATGCAGTGAAATCTTACTAGAGCTTCTTTCTCTTGTAGGTAGAACGTTTCACAGCCTGAGGAATCGCTTCTTCAAGTCAATTTTGTGCATGGAGAGCGGGAAATTTTTGGAATGGTTCTCTTCAAAGGATTTGCGGAAGATTGGTTTCACCGATTGATATTTTCGTGAGCGTTTGATGTGTTCTAACTGTACTTTGTTTGCCGATTCGTTTATTTTTTATGTGACTTGGCGTTAGCTATCGTGATAAAAATCATTTCCTGGCCAAACGTGTCATGACGTATGCGGTTTGACAGTGAATTTAAACGGAGACTGTGTGAATTGTGCAAATGGTCATGATGAATTTCAATAGCATTGAAGGTGCGGGAATAGCGAAACTGTCCATGCGAGGGATTCTTGGTTTACCAGGGCTTATGTTCGCATCCTTGTTGCTGCAGTAGGATTTCTGGGACAGATCCGCTGAAGCATAAGTAAATTTTCCTAAACTCCGACGAGGGAGTTGGAAATTTCAAGAATGCCTTCTTTTTGAAGCTCGTACAGTGCAGTATTTGAGAAAGCGTTCACAGAAGCGCTGAAGAAGCACCCAATCATGAGTAAGATGGGGTAGTTCGAAGTTTTCATTTTTCAAGCGTTTAAAGAGATGAACAAAGCCATGGATTGAGAAGCGCCAGAAAATACAGAAATCCGAAGTGGATTGATGTTTTTGCCTGATGAAGGCACACGCTACGTGTTGTATTTCCTTACCATCCTTGTACGTCTCCGCAGGTTATCCGGTTTGAAGTCACCAAAATCATTATGCAGGTGGACTTGCTGTACAATGAAATTCAAAAGACTAGAAAACATTTCTTGTGGAAGGAATTCCGTTATAGAGATCCCTCAACATCGGGAGAGAGTCTGTGGGACTTTAAAATTTTTTCATACAGATGATAATGTTGTAGACGAGATTGTTGTTTGATGTACAAAAGGTTCTGTGTGGGTTATTTGAATTTTTACCAGCCATTGGTGCCCAACTGAATAACTCAAGACAGGCCTTATGGAAAGGGGAGGAGTCCTTGCTAGCGACAAGAAACAATGACAGCGTATTTTTAAAAAAATTCTAGGTGAAGGTTCCAGAGTATCTCGAATACTTTTTACATTTGCCAAGGTAATGCACATTTTCCGTATTTTGAGCTAGAAGGTTGTAAGGTCTGATTTCATTGACTTAAGAAACGTGTGAAAACTCAGTACACTTTCCACGGGGGTTTGATACATGCAAGCAAAGCACCCATGTTCGAAAAAAAAGTGATGGGACATTGAGGCTATGAAAACTTGTTCTAGTTTTAACTGCAGTGAATGACATTGAGATGCCTAAGTAGGTGATCCATACAAAATTTCAAGCTTTTATTCCAATTTGAATTGTAGTGGCTATTTTGTACTTTCACAATGAGCTCATGGGAGGATTATGCCATTGTTGGACATGGCCGCGGGTTACTTCCAAAGTACTGTAGACATGACTGGGGAAAAATTATTGAATACTGTAGCCCATGATGTCTCAGGCTCTGGGATTTTCTTCAGATTCAAGCAAGTTCAATAATTTACTGCAAGCTGAATGAAAACTTTTCAGTTATCCTGCTGAGAAATCTCCACTGATGTCACTGAGTACTAAACATTTTTCAGGCCAGCAAATAAATTTAAACTTTTCTGTTCTTTAAGCCATCAACTTTTCTATGTTTTTGGGAATTTTTAAACTTTGTCAGCAATTATTTTGCTCATCAAAAATTTTGTTGGCGGATTTTTCAATAGCAAAGGTTTATTTCTTACAAGCTGGGGTGCCCAGCCACGTCTGGGCAAGGTGTGAGGTAGCAATGATAATTGATATTCTAAAACCATTTCTTTTTGCAGTTAATCAAGTGATTAGAAATGCATTTCTACATATTCACTGAACTGACCTTTTAATGTATGGCTGCCAGTCCCCCAGCTCATTTGCTGAATTATGGGCATTTCTGATGCAGTGATAGGGCCCAGGGTATCACTGTGAACCACCCAGTTCATTGTTGCTGGCTTTAAAAAATTTGTCATTCTGAAATCATGCATAAAAAATGAATTCAAAATCAAGATATTCTTTCCAAGAACTAACCTTTAAAGTTGGAAGATTGCTCCTGTGAAGTAGATATGAGGATACCCATGTCCGCAAGAAAGCTTGGCTTCATTATGCAGCAGCAGACATGATCCAGATCTTCCGAGGGAACTTGCCCCTCTGAAATTGCATTCCAAAGGAGTTGAATTAAAAAATCTAGATGGTCTTTCAAGAACTAACCTGGTTGTGTTGAAGAATTCATGATTAGTGGAGAGATGGACCCAATCCAGTCTGAATTGGCTCAAACAGCTGCATTGATGCTTTGGTTTCTTGAAATCTAGACCATAGAATGCACATAGAATTGTAAACACGAAAAACTATTTAATACCTTTCCAACCTACCTCATTCTTCAGTAGATTTCTGGAAATTTGCACATGAAGGATGGAGGACAGGTGGACCAAACTTGCCAATGGATGTAGCCATAGAAATCTTCTCCAGAATTGACAGCAAGCAGATTTCTGAAGGATGAGGGTTCAAAAAGGTAAATTTCTAAAAAAAAGTCACATTTTCTACAATACATACATTGTGATTTTACCTTGAAGATCTCCATAGAGCAGTTTTGTCAACAAATGAGTGAACAAAAGTGACCAAGCACTGATATTCACACCCCCTTTTGAGCATGTGAGACTTACTTGGGCCACCTTTCAAGGAATAAGTCCTCTACACTGTGGCATTCCTGGATGCAGTACTCAAGGAGGTGAACATCAGATCCTAGATCTTGCTCAAAAGGACAGATAGTACTTTGTGGCTATTGATTGACATTTGAGAGGTTAAATGACTTCCTTGAACACAATATTCTTTGTGTAGGCCCCTGTCTCATCTTCATGTGCTGCATTACTCAAAACAATTTTGATTTTTGCCTTTGAAGTACATCTTGACAGAGCAACATACATGTGCCCACGTGAAAACACTGGCTCCTGTAAGTAGATGACCAAATGCTTCACAGATTGCCCTAGGGATTTATTGTTTGTCATTCCAAAAGCAAGTTGCACAGGAAATTGTTGTCTTCTCAGCTTGAATAGCATTCTTGCATCATCACTGATTAGTGTGATCCTTGGGATGTAAACTCTCCCCTTTGTGCACCTGTAAGGATTTTTGCATCAATGCAGTTTTTGGTAAGGTGACAAAGTGATGAAAATCTTCAGACATTGCTGTAATGTTTGATTTCCATAGACCTCTTGCATCAGCTGGTTGGCAAGGCATCAGGATGGTTGCAAAGAGGTAATTGAGCTGAACAGGCATTTGAAATGCTTGTGCTTCAGACAAACAGTTGAACCACTCAGTATCATTCTTGAGAAGCCCAGCAGCTCTTGCAGCTCCTTGTATGATGCATATAGAACACCATAAATAGTTCTGATGTGATGGAAGCTCTGAGGTCCTTTGACATAGTACAACAGCACATGCAAGCAGTAGCATTCAATGTCCATAGGTGAACATGACACCATGCATCCAATGGCCTTTTCTCCTCCTTGTTGTCTAGGTTTCCACATTTTGTCTCTTGACTAGACAGAGTACTGTATACTGGAACATCAGGATAAAGGATTCTTTTTGCAGTCTCATTGCCTTGTGCACAGAGATCAAAATACCTTGTTACCATGGTATGCTGTCCTTGTTCAAAAACTTGAACTCTGTTTTCTGTGGGTCAAATATATTGCTTCTTGTCCAGATGCACTGGAAGCCACACTATAGTATGAGACATATCTTGTAGAGGATAATCAAAAATCCTCCAACAGGCTTCAACATTGGAGATGTGGATGACATTCAAGAATTCATAAATTCAGCAAAAATTCTTAAATTTCATCCACAACACCATCTGGATGAGGATTCCTGGTGATTGCCACCCTTGCTCTGTTGGACCCTTTGTACACCTACTTGCACAAATACTTCACAGAAGCAATTGTTGAAGAAATCTCCACCTTGATGTGGCAGTTGTACTTCAGTAACAGGTAGGGGTTGTTGTCCACAACCCAGTGGTTATCCAGTGGGACACCTTTCTCTTGAACAATAGGCCCATTCTCAAGATGTCTCATTTGGGGATACCCTTTCCATCAGTCCATGTTTCATTGCTGGAGGTCTTTGGAAAATGTTTTGAACACTTGCCATCCTTCATGCATGGAGCATATTTGTTGAGAACACCACATGGCCCATGCATCATGTGCTGGGCAAATTTGTCACATAAGTCAGGGAGCTTGGCAGAATCTGGAATTTTTCCTGACACAAACTTGTCATATTCTGATGGGCACTTTGGACTGAACTCTGACATCAGTTTCACCAGAAGATGTGCATGTGCATGGAAGACCTCTCTTCTGATACAGTATTCAATGACATACATATATGCCAGCACACTTCCAGAGATTCAGTTCACCTTGATATCCTCCATGATTGCCCTCAGCTTCAAATTGAAGACCCTGGCTATCAAATCTGGACAATCTGTAGGTGTCTGATTGGCCATGAGATTGTCTGTTATCTCTGTCCATTTTGGGTTGCACACCAGTGCTGCTTCACTCACCTACTGCCAGTAAAAATAGTTCACCCCATGTACTTCTATTATCCAGATCTAAATAGAGGGCTGAGTACTCGTGGAGCTCATGGTGTGACCATTCATTTTGGCCATTCCCTTGAGGGCAATGCGCTGTAGTGGTATTGGCTCTTGCTCCCAGAAAGCTAGCCATATTGCAAAAAACACACTACTTACAAAGTTTGTTCCACAATCTGTCAAAATTCTTTTTGGGGCACCAAATAAACAAACCCAGTTGGTCAAGAAGAGTCCTGCTGTTGTTTGTGCGGAGGTGTCTTTCATTGCTGAGAAGACAATCCAGCGTGAGAGTCAATCATGTATGACTAATATGTATCAATTACCTCTTTGATTATTGGGGACTGGACCCACAACATCCACGCTTATGTCCTCAAAACCATTTTAGGGATACCAGTACTGAGGTAGGAGGTTTTGTGAGCATATTGTTTTGTCTTTTGATATTCTGGACAAGCTTAGACATATGCCGTAACATCTGTTTTGACATTAGGCCAGGTAAACTCTCCCCAAAGAGCAAAGACAGTTTTATCTATCCTGCAATGTCCCCTAGATGGTGGGTTGTGAAAACTATTAATTATTTTCTCTCAAAGTGATGGGGGAATATTCATCAATATACCATCCTTTTCATCAATATACCATCCTGTAAATTGAATTTGGTTCCAAAAGGGACCTTCCCTTTCAGAGAGGCAGTTGCTCTTTGGGTAAATTCCTGGAAACATAAGGAATTAGATTAGTTTCCAGCAAAGTAGGCAAAAGATAGGCGCACAACTTCCCAGCAAATAATCAGCCATTTTCCAGCCAGGCGTAAAGACCCAGGCAAAAATCACCCGTCAAACACCCATTTTTCATGGGTGCATGGATACGGGTGGTTTTTTTCAAAAACGGGTGATTTTTCCTCAGCTGTTTTCCTGCCAGGCATGAAATACACAGTTGCAAAACACCCGTAAATCACCCATTTTTCATGGATGGTTGGAAACGGGTGATTTTCAGAATTGGTGAATGTGTTGGAGGAAATTTTCCAGGACTGGCTCACCATATAGAGAACAGAGCTGCACTGTTCTCATATACTGAG